TGACTTGGAAACAGCAAATAATAACATTAATCAAGATCTTGCCCAAATTGACAAGTTTATTAGTAGTCATAATCTCCGTTAGAACCGTATTAATTCTTAGCGCAACCCGTCATAATGAAATGCTGTAAATATTACCGTGGTCGGATTTTTAGCGAGCGACGGAGAGGTTTTAGTGAAGAATCTCTTACTTCGGGCAGGAAAGGCCGATTGGGTGATACTGTCGAGCTTTGGTGGCTGAGGGTGGGTATAAAAGCATTCCCGTGTTGGTAAAAATTAAATTGATTGAGTCATTTAGCTTCCAAAAACGATTACCGATCTATGAATTCAGAAACGTGAGTTATGGAACCCTGTGATTCATCTGTGCCCTGCTACCATTCTGGGAATGATTGGTGGCAAAACAAAAAACAGTATTTGCGTGAAATTTTCACTTATACATTATTCAAAACAACTTCTTATTTGCTATTAGGATAGCTCAAGAATATATCAGTGGGTGGTACAGAACTATTTATTTGTCGAGAGTATCTTATGAATGCAATGACTGTATTGACGAGACATGCTATTTCGGAATCAAGTTCTCAATAGATTTAAACTCCTACAAGCCTGGTAGAATAATTTCTCCAAAAGAGGTGGCTACTAATCAAAATTTAACACACGACAGCGTGTCTCTCATTCTCAAGTCCTAGAAGTATTGTGTTCCAACGCCTCTGATAGTGATAACTTCCAACTCTTCCATCTGAGTGGAAGGCTCTCTTCCTCCCTACAATTAATTCACGAAAATCACTTTGCTATCCTTAAGGCTTGCACCCTAGGGCTTGCCTATTATGAAGCTATGATTCGGATTCGGCGTGTAGAAAGGGAAAAATAAAAACTACGTCCGGCTTAGGCATCCGTATTACCTAACATTATGCCGATCTTTTCATGACATCATGTAGGTTGTTCGACATTATAGGTATATTCTTTGATCCACCGGTTAAGCTACCGGTAAACTTGTCTTTACATTGATGGTGGATATGCCGTTGGTGCCAACAGTATCCACCGATGTTCGCGCTCGGTTGATCCACAATATTCTACCTCTACAGTTTATCATTTATTGACAACTACAGTTTTGTGTGAAGAAATGGAAGAGGAAAAGATTGAAGTTATTCTACAGCATAGGAGTGACGTGATATTTAATTTCATTTTGAATTATGCATATCTGAAAATTTCTTAGTTTTCTGATTTATAGTCCTTTCATTGATTCTCGGAGCGCAAATTCGGTCCACTGGATAACTTCTTCATCCGAATCATCACTCGAATCGCTTAACAAACGTTCCACGACGATACCAACTGCGTACATTGCCACCATGATTTTAAATGATACGGTGTGCAAATTAACAAGTATGAATTCACGATAAAACAAAGGTTAGGTTTTCTCATATGACAACACCTTGAAGGTGCGTCTTTATATTAACCACCATTCTAAATAACCGTTTGCTGACATCATCACATCAGCTGTCAACCATAAGTTCACCAGATCCATCAGTGATGGAATCAACCGGTGAATTAAAGAATACATATACCTTTTGTATGAAATGTCACCTTTAAACCAGCTGAGATTCACGTCACGCTCACTTGTAGTAGGCGCGAAATGGGCTAGCAGCATGCTAGTGGCTACCTAGTGTTCAAGTTGACATTTTCCGATTTTTTGACATTATACAGGGTGTTTCCAGTGTGACACAGGGGGTATATTGGTTTCAGATCAATCAGATAGAATCAACATGACCTAAGTAAAAATTGTCTAGTTTTCGAGATATTGCCACTTTCAAGTTTTTGCCAATTTCCTATTAAATATCACCTTTGAACCAGCTGAAATTCACTTCATGCTCACTTGTACTAGACGCGAGATGGAGTAGCAGCTCACCAGGGACTACCTAGTGCAAAAGTTGATATTCTACCCAGCCATATCAGGTAACTTAAAAATTGACATTATATCGATTTTTTATGACTTTATATAGTTTCTCAAACATTATCTAGGTTTTCCTATAAAACGTCACCTTTGAGCTAGCTGAAATTCATTTCATGCTGACTTGTAGTAGGCGTCAGATTAACTATAGCAGCACACTAGCGGCTACCTAGTGCACAAGTTGGCATTTTACCGATATAAGTTCTTTACGTAACAATGCTGCCGTGGTACGTAACTTAAGTGACATTATATCGATTTTTTATGACATTATTTTGGTTTTTGGAAATTGTTTAGGTATTCCTATGAAATGTCACCTTTGAACAGGATAATATTCACTTGATGCTCTCTTTTAATAAGCGCGAAATGAAATAGCAGCACACTAGCGGCGACCTAGTGCAGAAGTTGGCATTTTACAGATTTTTTTTAAATGACTTTTACTGTGTTTTTGATCTAACAACCCTGTGAGCCAAAACCCTGTCGAACACCTGCAATGATATTCTGTGATGAATAGGATAACCATCGAACAAAACGGATATCTCACAAGCAGGGAGGAAGTTCGCTACATCTCTGTAAAGCTTCTCTAGGCGAATAAGCTTATTGTAAAGAATATTTTGCCAATATTATTGAAGGCGAAACTGGCAGTCGTTTGGACTTCTAGTTGCAAGATATTCATTCGTTGGTTTTCGTGTGGCCCATTATTGCAAAATCTCGTCGCACCGCCAAAAAACTTGTTTGGACCGCAGTTTGTCTGTCTCTCTGCACTATAGCTTCCTTCTTTTTTTTCTCCAAATCGCGTTTGCGTTCGGTTCCACGATAGAATGCAGGTTAGAAGAGAGAGAGGTTGTTGGTTATTCAATCGGGTGTGCCTTTCTGCGTTTTTTGCGTAGATACAGAGTGAAATCTTGCTTTGAAATTCCTCACTACCCAACCTCCTTACACTGTACAAGATTTATATAAGGCTTGCTTGTACCCTAGTGCATACTAAGCATAGCATATTTCTTTTGAGAGCTTTTTGAATAAAATAGCTCATGAAGATTCAACTAAAAACTACTTAAGGGGGAATAATTAAGGATGTACATAGCAATACCAGTAACAAGCTGTTCACTTGACACATTTGAATCACCCTTTTCACAGACAGGAAGAGCCTGGGTGTGTATCTTTGTGTTTGCAATAAATATTCATATGACTTGAGATCTTAATTTCTCAGGATTCAAGGATATAATGACATTGGATCAAACCAGTAAGACTCCAGCTCATGAAATTACAGTTACCATATCTGCCCAAGCTTATGGATAAGTCGGTACAAGAAGATTGGACCTCACTCTTAAAGAAGTAACTTCAGTACCAGGAACGTCACTTCTGTCGAAGATAAGATCTACGAACTTACAGTTAATTATGAAACCAACATCAGTAGCACAAACATTTAAGCTGTTCGATGACTTTGACGATGTTTTTGATGATATATAACAGTAGTGAACAGTAGTCATTGTGATTGTAGGTCCACTTTCGTAGAAAAAAATAATCGTTTAAAACAGCATCCACTGGAAAAAGATTTGTTTTGATTGTTTCATATACTATGGACTAATATACGTCAAACCCTTTGGAGTGCATCTTCCCTATTAAAGGAATCTAATTTTTTAAAACATTGTAAATGTCTCATTTCAATTTCAAGAGAATCGGTACCTCTAAATCATTGATTCCCAAAGTGGTCTATATCGACCTCTAGGGGTCTATGACAACCTGCAAGGGGTCTACGTCAGCGAAAAAAAATTTGGGGGTCTATGAAATGAATATGGGGGTCCACGATAGTGGATCTCAACACATACACTGATAGTACCTATTTACTTACATCTTATAATATCAAAACATATACATTATTTATAAAAGTACCTATGAAGTAAAAAATTTATTATATATGTTTATAAAATTGTGTAAGTTGTAGGATGTTGGTATTCGCTTTGTGGTCGCAATACATTTTGATATTGTAAAAATCTGAGAGTCGCAGTCTCAGAGCTTCGCTACCTTGCACTGACTTGTTCAATTCGTCACTCTATAAATACGAATGTGGGACAAATACGTTTATTCGTTTCCTGAATCTTGAAAAGGAAAGTGCTAAGAAAATATTTTAAAAAATATAAACAGATAGTATATCACACAAATTATAGTGAGTCAGCGTTATTTTGTTTGAGAGTGCTGGAGAAAAGTAAGTACATTATTTTTTATTAAATTTTAGTTTTGTACTCGTAGTTAGCAAAGATAGATAAATTACGTCAATCATGACTTTAGTTATTAGTAGTTAAATACTCAATCATGCAAAATTACACGAGTACTCCTCAATAGTTTCTTTTTGAAAATTTTAGCAATCGGTAATATAATTACAGGGCAATCTCCGAAATTCGAGCTAATTGTTGCAAAAAGATGTTCGAATTATGGAATATTTTCGGAAAAATCAAAAAATATTTTTAATATACAGCTGCTGGATTTTCTGTCTTATTTAAATAATCTAATTTTGCCCACAGATGACTAAAAGAAATGTAGACAGTACAGTGTTGATTATTTGAAATTTGGCTTCATTCCATCATTGCCGGACAAACAATCGCCTATGTGCCTTTTATGCAACAAAGTTTTGGGCAATGACGCTATAAAACCATCTAAACTGCAAGATCATCTGAGAATATGCCACCCTGATAAAACAGAGAAAATACTTTCAAACACTCAAAGATAAATTTCAGAAGAGACCTACACTGGACGTCACAAAGAAATGATGTTGGTTTGCGGGCGTCTTACAATATCTCGTTACTTATAGCAAAATCCGGAAAACCGCATACTATCGGAGAGAAGTTAATTTTGCCAGCCGTTGAAGAGGTTTTAAAAACTGTTTTACACAAACCTGCATCTGATATCATTAAAAGAATTCCCTTAAGCAACAATACTGTTGAAAGACATATTGATGAAATGAGTTCTGATATTGAAAGCTTCTTATGTAATCTCTATACAACTGGACGAGTCAACATTACCTGATAATGCAGCATTATTATTGGCATATGTTCGTTTTGTTATGAATCAAGAAATCTACGAAGAACTGCTCTTCGCAAGAACTTTGATAACCGACACTAAAGGTGAATCAATATTTCATATTTTGAAAGATTACTTCATTGAAAAAGCAATTTCTTTATCAAATATAATATCAGTAGCTACAGATGGAGCACCTGCCATGGTTGGACGTTATCGTGGATTTATAAGCTATTTAAAACAAAATGTGTCAGGGGTGTCAGCAATACATTGCGTCATCCATCGACAACATTTAGTTGCTAAAAATTTGAGTGTTAGATGGCATGAATCACTTCATTTAGTCATTGATGCAGTAAACCCAATCCGAAGCAACGCGTTGAATATTATTTGCGCAGTTGTGTGAAGAAAATGACGAACACTTTCACCAATTACTCCTTCACACTGAAGTACGCTGGCTGTCGAAAGGCTTACGTTTGACAAGATTTTTTGCACTTTTTGAGACTATTTTAGAATTTCTGGATACTAAAGATAAAATTTTAAAAGAAAATTTAATGAAGAGGAAAACAGACTATTTAACAGATTTGTTTACAAAATTTAATATGGTTAATTTGCAATTACATGGTGACAGTTTAAATTTGATTAAAACAAAGTCCATCTTATCAGCGTTTCTTGCTAGAGTTAAACTAATGAAGTAAAATATTGGACGGGGCGAATTTTCTCAGTTCCCCAATTTGTCACAGACAAGCTGCCAGGAAGACGACGTTTCAACTTACGTTCAACATTTAAATGCCCTCTATTCAGATTTTGAATCTAGGTTTGAGGATATTTTGACTATGGTAATACCACCGTGGATAATTAATCCATATGGTGACATAGAAGAAACGAATGTCATAATACAAGAGGAACTGACTGAACTAAGTACAAACGAAGAACCTAAGGTTCAGTTTAAAAACGGATATCAGCAATTCTGGCTGCAAAACAACATGCCCGTTACTTATCCCGTATTATGGAATATAGCGAAGAAATTTTTAATTTCCTTTCCATCGTCATGCCTAGTGGAAAGGGGGTTCAGCGCTGTTACCAATCACCTAACGAAAAAAAGAAACAGACTGGACATCATTAGCCGAGGAGATTTAAGATTAACCCTTACAAAATTGACGCCAAATGTTGATTATTTATTATTAAAGCATCAGGTTCATCCTTCTCACTAAAAATATTGACTTATTGCTTATGTTATTTTATTTATAGTTTATTATATGTTTATTGGTGTCTGACCAATAAATGCCCGCATTGGGAATAAGTGCCCGCATTTATTTTTTCAAAGAACCCCCCTTTATAGAAAATATTTTTTTTAATTATTCTAAAAATTCAAGGATAGGTACACACCAAAATTCGTTAATTTTTTGCCTATTTTTAGATAACTTAAACGTATAAGAAGCGGAATTTAATCAAACTAACAGTGAAATTATTGTAGAACATACGTTTATGTTATAATTAATAAACGAACTCGCTTATTGTACTATTTTAAGTAAAAAACTTTTTTTTTAATTATTTTTCACTTTTTTTTGTATTCCTCTTATTTTTTTTTCAATGCGGGCACTTATTCCCAATGCGGGCACTTATTGGTCAGACACCTGTTTATTTAGTGTTACGTATATTTTACATAACAGATACAATATTTTATTTTGAGTAGTTTTAATTTAAATTCAATTAATACCTAAATGTATAAATTAACATGTGTTTTTACTTTTTAAGTTTTCAACACTAAACTTCACTACAGTTAGAAATTTACAGGAAATCAATATCAGGTAACTAGGGGGTCTACCCAACACGGAAAAACATTGCAAGGGGTCTACGACACAAAAAAGTTTGGGGAACTCTGAACTAGACAGTTAGCTCCCATGAGGTTGGGTATGATCCTGAATATGAGTGATCATGTTTCCATTGCTTGTCAAATCTTTGGAGCAACTCAACACGGGAAGCATTCTTAAATCTATGGCCAACCAAGAATTCTGAAAAGCAAGAAAGTGTCTTGCTACGTAAGTTCGCGTATGAGCATTTTTAGTTTGCGTATCCATCATATATTTCAGTTAAAATTATGGTGGTTGCGTATACGAATTCAAACACGATATTAAGCACATCGGGGTTGCTGTTTTGAACCAATAAGATGTGAAGTGGAATAGTAAATAGTTTGTATAACAAACTACAACTTTTGCCGCCTAATAAACGAAAACATCTATAATATGCAGTCGCTGGCAAGCGATTTGTTACTTCCCACGCCTACTGGTGGAGATAATGCGAAGATTTTAGAAAATGAGATGTTGTTTATTGTTATTGGTTTCAAGCCTAGTATCGAGGGAAAAGAAGGTAAAAACAAGACCGGGGAACCCTTTCAGAGCGCCGACGGGGCGAGGACAGTAGATACTCGGCGACGAGCGAAAAGGCGACACGCATGGTTTTACCTGTGGAAGCTTCGTAATTGATAAAATCCTTATCATTTTTTCAATCGACGCATTTTGACAATTTATAATACTTCACAAAATAGAAATGGCGGATTTTAAATGCAACCTTTAACTCTGAGATTTCCATTTGACGGGATACAGCTCAAATAGTTTGATGCATTTTGACATTTGAGTTGTCCCTAGATTGGCCTTGATAGGACAATTGATTCTTCTTTCTTTTCACTTCCCATGCCTGCTGATGGGGAAATATTTCGCGAATTTTTTTGTAAATGGGATGTTTTTTGGATGTTATATGACATGTACATCAGGAAAAACCCTGTCACACATGTTCGTCGGCCTGTCTGTCTGTACAAGGGTACAGAAGCTTTGTAGCTTTTAAAAAACGGTCCAGTGGTAGTAGAGAAAAAAGCATAAAACGAAAATAGGGCATATCGCTCAAACTTGATTTTTTATGATCGTTTTGTAAAAAAAATTTGGAGGTAAAAAAACTTAATGGTGGGGATTGCAGCAGGGTTGGGCGGGCTTATCTCAATTTTTTGATGTTAATAAATTTATTATTCTACGCACCTATTAGACATATTTCACACATCATAGATTATCTGTACATTAGCACTTACAAAATATTCTCGGCAGCAGACGGATCGCGTGCCTACCGGCCACCGCTGCGGAATATTCTGTTGTTCTGGTTCTGCCGCGTCACAGCATAGTGTTTACCTATGCTCTGACCGCGCTGCAACGTCTGACCGAGGTAAGTGTCGGGAGAGCAAACATTTCCAGATGGACTACCGGTAGAGCAGGGAAGTAATGTCTATGGACTAATTGTAAGGACCTGTTTGGCTGACTCTTTTCTTGGAGGGTCTAATTTGTGCTGAACATAATCCTTCATGAACTGAAGGTGGCGTTGCTTGGGAAGTATTAACCTAGTTGATGCTATTTTTTCATGAAATTCGACCCAGTTTTGGCGCAGCTACGAGCAAAATAATAAAAAAAAAACGCTCAAACTTCAGTTTTTGGCATTTTAGAGATTCATTACCATATTGAGGGGTGAAAGGTTGGGGTGCGAGGGACAGCGGAGGATGAGGAAAGATTGCACTCGTTTGACGTATATTTATAAGCCTCTAGCCCTTGCTCAGTAGCAAACTACCCGCGCCGAGTCGACATTGTGCTTTGTTGTCATTGGCAAGTAACGCAGGGATAACGAGATAGAGGATGGACGCATCGCGACCTGGCTGCTCCCGAGGTTTAGTCACCGCAGCTGTGATTAGATCCCAACAATGCCAAACTGGTTGGGACAGGGAAGCAACTATATGCAAGGTGGCGTTCGCGAATGCCTATTTGACTGTTTTTAGTGTATTTAGTTTTTTCTAATTATAACAACTACTTATTTGGTCCGAACATAATCCTTTAGTAACTGATGACAGCGTTGCGAGGTAAGTGGAGAGTGACCATTTTTTTAACAGTTCGCTTGAGATAAGTTTGTGAAATGAAAACCAAGGTACTTATTTATGAACTGATTGCGGGTCAACTTATTTGACGCCATTTTCATTAGCATGTGGAGAATGCAAAAAAGATCTACCATATTTTCCATGTTTTCCTTCACTAGTTCAAAACCCGTATCAACAAGATCTGCTTAACTACTCCATAACAGTCTGTGGATGCCTCAGTATAAAAGAAAAACAGTTCCGATATCAAAATGTTTGGGATTCTTCTCAAACTTTTCGATACTCCTGATCTACGTTTGGTATATTGATTTCCGGTATTTGTAAATACTTATAAACTTGCAATAATTCCAATCCAACTGTACCGCCTGAACATTTCCTGTAAGCCGCCTTGCCTAGCCGTCACATCGACTGGCGTTCATTCGGCTCGTGTTACGGCCTCCACCCGCTGCCCGAAGCCCGGAGTTTTGGCAGTCCCTGGAGGAGAGCAGCGCGAGGAAGGATGTAAGAGGACTGAGGGGAGGGGTGGCTTAATTTAGTGAGGTCATCGGTGCAAAATGCCGTCGCTACCGCTGCCGCTACCGAAGCCTCCTCCGTTACTTCACCCTTCCTTTGCCCTTCCAAGCCTTCCTCATGCCTTCAGGACATTGGGCCGGTTTACGATGCATCTGGCGTTAGTACGGTCGAGGAGAATCAGAATATTAGGCTACGGTTACTATGAATGCGAATTCTGACGAGTACGTCTGAGATACTTGTCAGATAAGGCAATTACACTGTGCGCGATGTCTGACATTTTGGTAGTCTGTACGTTTCTGCTGTCCAGCAAATAAGGACAAAGTTCGTAAACAAACAAATTCAGTAAACTTTTTCTTTGGCTGCTCCCCAGTAAAAAAGATTGAGTGGATTTAAGTCAGGTGAACGGGCTGGCCACGAAATTGTACCATACCAGACCGCTCTATCCATCTGCTCAGGGATTTCGCATCAAGATATAATTTATTTAATATATACAGGGTTTTTCAGTTTATTGTTGCATAACTTTAAGATTCGATAGAACTTTTAAAATTAATGCATAAAGTCTATATAAACACGGGTCGAAAAATGCGTGGCTTCCGAAATACAGGCTGTTTAAATTTACTTTTTAAAATAGTTTTTTTTTTAATATTTCGAACAATATTTGATGTATAACAGTGAAAATTGGTATACAAG